CCCCAAAACCCCAAAACCCCAAAACCCCAAAACCCCACAGAAATCTATAACTACATTATAAGAAAAAGAATAGAAATTAAAATAATTTGGGAGTAAGTTTAATAAAGTAAGATGTCTCAAAGACAAAGCAATCCCAATATGCTGAATTAAAAACAAGTTAGTAATCCTGTGCCTCTTAATACTAAAACTATAAGGGATATCATGCCTGATCCAAATAGTTATTAGTCTATGCATCTAAACAGTCCCAATCAAAGTCAAAGCTAAAATAAAGTATATAAGGCAAGTTAAATCTAAAGTAAAAATTTATCAATAATAAGATGATTAGTTATGAACTTAGATCCTCATGGAAATAGGCAGATTGGTACATCAATTTCTTCCCCTAATTACAGCTCATATCCATCGAATTCACAATTTGACAACAGAGAGTAAGATCAATTATTGATTTTTTATATTTTAGTGAGACTATAGCTAAACTCTAAGAGATAAATGAGAAGTTTAGATCGAGAGTAGCTGAATTGGAGGATATTGTATTTCAAGCATTAGATAAGATTCAGTAGCCAGATAATGAAGATAAAGCAGAAAGGAATTTCTTTTCACACAGAGTTTAGCCTCTTGAAGACATTTCTGAAATCTCAGAAAGAAATCTAATGCTTAAGCAAATGTAGCAAGAGATTAATTTACAGAAATAAAATATTAAGTCTCTGAAAAACAAACTCGAAGCAGTAACCAATGTGCAAAGAAACACTGATATAGAAAACCAAACATTGGACCTAGAAAGACAAAACAAAGAAAGAATGAAACTATTCAATTCACTAATGAACAGAAATGAAGAGTAAAAAAGAGAGTTACAAATGCTAAACGAAGATACTGAGTTTGGGCATTAGATGGATTAAATTAACAGAGAACTGGCAAAATGGAAAGATAAGCATAAAATGCTTGCGCAGTACAAAAAAGAAGAAGATATGAATTTTAAGAGCAAATTTGATCATTTAATGAAAGTTGAATAAGAGAGGTCAAGGATCAAAGAAGCGATAAGCATGATTGTTTATGCACCCATGGATTAAAATAATAAGCGTGGCAAATCATAGGCTCTAACTGGAATGAAAAAGACAAAGTTTGCAGACTAGGATCAAGATGTAGATCAACTTTTAAAAACAAGAAATGCTATAGAAAAAGTTATAGACTAAAATACAAGACGATATCTTCTTACCAAAAAAGAAATGGAATATAAAGAACAAGAGCTTGTAGAAGAGATTGAAAATCTTAAACTTCTTATAGTTAACACAGAGAGAATGAACGAGTTTTATTTTGAGGAAGTGAAAGAGCTGAATTAACTAAATAAAACTCTGAAAGAAGATTTAGCATTTCAACAGCGGAACTCTATTCTTGAACAAGCAACAGATGATGAATATGGTATTAATTAGAATTCTGGAAGAAATAAAAGTCTGAGTCATTCAAAGTAAAGAACTAGAGCAAAAAGTAGAGCAAATTAGAATTTTTCAGTTTCAAAATCTGTAAGTAACCTTCATAAAGTTAAGCAGTCACAAGATAATACAGATTTCAAAATCATAAAAAAAGTAGATCACCCTGATAATCCACCTGCATATAATAATAGACAGTTCAATGACAGTATAAATGATAGATATGGCGAAACTCCAAATACTCAACCCAAAAAATCTAATCTTAAAAGAGAAAATGAGATAATTTTCAGATATGATAATAAAGAAATATAAGGTGTATCTGCAATAAATATGCAAAACTAGAGAAGTCCAAAAATAGAAGATAAATCAAAAGTATAAGGCAGTAAATAGCAATAGTAATAACAACCCTTGGTTTCTTAGTCAATGGAAATTAGTAAGAATCCTCCAAAGAAAAGATGATAACTTAATGATAGTTTATTTTTAGATTATTTATTTTTGCTCTTTGGATAATCTTTATGAGTGGGGTTTTGGGGTTTTGGGGTTTTGGGGTTTTGGGG